ACATGAAAAATTACGAAGTGAATTATCCGTTCGTGCAGTCGGGCATCGAGAGTCCATTTTACGATATTCATTTTACGATATAATTTGTAAACTAGTGTTTTTTTTTTCATAGACCATTCGTCTTTATGAACGCAATACAATGAGAATCGTTCGTATCGTTTACTGATTCAATATACGAGTACATAGCCTAAGGTCATGTTACAAAACGTGTTCGAATCAAAGCGCTGTCCTATTTTCGCCTCACCCATGATATGTAAACCGGACTGTGTCCATTGGCCCTGATTGAAAATCGTCTCCTATCATCAGGACTACTGGAGCAAACGAGGCGGCGCGGCGTTAGTAATTTCTAGAAACTTTTCACGAATTGATCGCGCTAAAATAACAATGTAATGATTGCGCAGAAGTAAAATGAACTATAGAGTTTTGTGTAATCGTGACGCAATCGCGTTAGGTACCATACGAATTTCTCCGCGTCCGCCATTTTGTCGTGCGTTAATGAGCCCAGTCTGTCATAGGTATTAAAGGTTACCTTAAAGTCCCGCCTTTTCGATGGATTGAATAATTAGAGAGCTACGCACGTTCAACTTCGCTACTGACTATTATTTTCGCGTAATACATAGTATTAGGATTACTACGCAAGAATTTATTGAATTAACATCCACCATATTTATAATAACTTAATGAAACGAAACACTTTTATAACGTAGGTATCTGCGAAATGGATTCCACCCATCTTATTACGTTATCATAATATCTTCATCTCATAGATAATGTTTTGCTTTAGCAAAAGTAATATCCAAAGTTGGACAAATTCGTCATAGTCTTCTAGAAGCTTCCATAGAACCTTCCATGTAGACGAAGGAAACTTTTAGTTTACTCATACAAATTTCACCGGCAACGTACATACAGTGTGTCGTTACCATCGCGACAATAACTGAACCCACATATAGGGGATAACTTTTTAAAGTTGTATTAAACATTTAAATTCTTTACTCACCTTAATATAAATAGGGATTAAAAAAAGGCGGACTTGCCAATTGGCAGTCTCTACCAGGCAACCCAGAGCGTGTAGAGAGATTGAGGTAGGTGCAATAAATAAAAAACAAGAAATATTGTGAGGTCAGGGTAATTCCTAGCCAAGCTGGCCTATTCATTGTTGCGATTCTATTCTTTTTTCACATTTTTCACAAACCTACGTAATTATTATCATAACCCATAGCTAGACATAATTCCAATTTTCAAATTTCAAAAGGTTGTGGTACGCATCTGTAACCCTCGGGTGTTGCAGATGTCCATGGGACATGGCGTTATTCACTTAACATCAGGTGAACCGTCTGCTTGCTTGACAACTTTTTACATAGAAAAAAAAATATTATTCGGATCAATTCGAACAAGACGATGGAAAATACACAGAACTAATTAGTTAAAAATTGGTAGTCGCTTACACGAAAGATTTTATGCCGCGAAAGAAATCAGACCAATTAGTACACGAATCTCGTTAGTTTTGTGCAGTGGAATTGTGGATATAACTATTGCCGCAGCCAGAAACGAAGCGGAGAAAAAAAGCGCGCGAATCGCCGCAGATACATAAACAACGTCTACGATTCGTTGCGTTTGGCGCCATTTCGCTGGCACAGAGTATATCTGACGTGCAGCGATGGCCGCGGACGTTAATTATTGGCGCGGTATACGGTATACCGCGGTTTCCCCGCTTTTCGCACGCGCGCCTTTTTCTCGGCAGAACAATGTCATAATTATTGAGACAGTTTCCACTTTCAATTTCGCTGTTAGGCGACTCGAGACGCGGGGGAAAACTTACGGCTGACTGCGGTACGGTTAGCAGAAACCTTAACGTTTCGGCGTTGCGATTGTATCGTAACCAAATAGAAACCTGTCATATATTATTTATTATTTACTAATGATGACTTACTATAAACATCGGAATAAACGAATGCATAAAAGGATACAGGAAAATTATAAGAATGATAAACTAATTAGTATAGATACTGTCATGTAATCCTATTGGAAAAATATTTCTAACTGTCGCTTCTTGACAAGCAAGTTATAGAGTCAAAGCAAAATTCTAATTAGCAATTGTTAAAAATTCTAAAAAGAATTCTGAACATAAGACATTATTCTCCAGATAAGCGTATTTTTAAGGGTGTAAGCACCGACGTCGCGCGGGATTCAAACGGATTGGCTACGATAAGTATAGACTTCGAAAAACGAACACCGGAATACGTCGCCGCTGTCCGTACGTCTGTTTGTTTACAGTTTTCACTATCGATACTTTTCTCGGCAAGTGAAAATTCCATCGCAATACCGCTATCTACAAGTGAACGGTTGCTTTTTGCCCGCCGGCATCGCACCGAGCATTCTATACTTCACGAGTACCGATGAGAACTTGTCGACTGGCTGTTTTTGTCGTGTCAGAATACGGTAGCGCCTTAACATGTAGCATACAATATATGAGCAGAATTGATGCGATTACTCGTTTATCTCGTTTCGGAAAGAATTCCGAATGCTGTAAAAGTTATGAAGGGTTTTAACACTATACAATAACCCTAAATCACTTAAGCTGCCACAAACACCGTCAAAATTAATATATAATGGGTCGTCTACTACTTCAAATTGTACACAGAACTGACCTATTTAAGTGTAACACCTTCACGTCACTCCCAGAAGCCGCCATTTTGGTAGCTGCGCAAAAAAGGCGGTGAAAATCGTCTAATACAAAAAATATTTTTTCTTTTTAAATATCGTTAGATATTCGTGTAGGAAAAATCATTTGCTTCATTATCTATTTAAATTAACTGTAATAAGGGCATTAAATACTTGTTATTTGAAAATATTTCAAAAACTTGTCTAGTTTTTACAGATTCACGAATATATAGATACTTTTTCGTAGCAATAGTTGGTAACTCAAAACCTCTCGTCGCCTTTTTGTTACTACTATATTGTAGGACATACATTACTATCACTTAAATTAGCTATTATTGAAAATGAGAGCCGTGATAGCTCAGTGTCCGGACGCTCGCCTATAATTCAATATACTCGAGCAACCTGAGTTCGATCCCCGGTGCCAGCACCAATGATATTGTTAATTTCAAGTGCTAAATTATCATGTGCTCAGCGGTGAAGATAAACATCGTGAGGAAACCTGCATATTTTCGAAATAATAATAAAAAAAAATGTGAAGTCCGCCAATCTGCAGTGGGGCCGCGTGGTGGACTATGCCCCGATACCCTCTGTACAGAGGAGGCCTTTGCCCAGCAGCGGGACATGGATATGCTGATACTTTACTTTTTGTAAAAATTAACAAGAGCCATAGACGACAGCGCGACGATTCGCTTTAAGGATATCGCCCGCGATTGTTATTGCTAAAGTGTTTACAGCGACCAAGGTGACTACCACTCGTCAGACAAACACTCTAGCTTGATGTTTGAACAGCGAATCGTGTTTTCCTTTGTATTCGTCGCGGACAAGTCGCATTTTTAATCTGCGCCCAGCTATCTTCGGCATTTTATCACACACTCGTGGGTACAAGGCCGGCGACGTGAGCGCAATATCGATCGACTTTGAGCCACACTCCTCCGCGGTTACTTCTAAAGCTCTTGCTTAAACGCTATAATCGCAATTATCCTATAACCATTGCCACATCGTTCATGACATAAGTGAACGGCCATTTATGCCTCATTCGTATAAATGTTTTCCATAAAAGTTCAATTTAGTGGACTTCACGTATCTTCTATTTGTTTTTGTTAGATGTTTAAGTATTCCCCCTTATTTACGTTCCCAGCAAGCGTTCCAACGTTTCCACATTAAAATTAATTTACTAATTTCAAGGAAGTGTAAAGAATTAGGGGAAAGCCCAGGCAGTTGTGACTCTTCTGATTTTGCACATATCCACGGGCGGCTGTCATAATTTACCATGAAACCACCCGCTTGCTTGTTTGTCTTCGTTTTCCATTAAAAAGCGCCCAAATACAGACCCTACACTGTTTTAAAAATATAATAGCCATTTACCTTAAGGTAACGCATTCAGTGATTAGGTAAAATTGTTTGAAACTTCCTTCCATGATGCCCAATACTTATATAATTCACTAACGTACCAGAAAACGACCAACAGAACCAAAGCCCATCAGACAATGAGTAATTTACCGTGAGTGACTACATAACTACAAAACTGTTTTGTACGTTAACGCATTATTACATAAAACAGTGTGAATATTCAACCAGCAATTATTATTACGGGCGTTTATAATTAAATCAATATAACAAGCGGGTATTAGTCAAACGAGTGGTAAGCTGTGGCACAGAATTCCGACGTGAAATATCAAAATTGCTCTGCACCATCTCGCAGTGGACTGAATCATGGTTCGGCATAGATAGCTCTTAATACCGAATAAGAACATCTAATTAGTGTGTTTCAATTAACATTGCGTATCTGAAAAAAATATTGAAAAAGTATAACAAAAGTCCATATCCACCCACCCGATTGGTCGGGTATGTTAGAGCTTATCAGTATTAATATAAAACAAGACGTCACAAAAGGATGCCAAGACGTCTATCAATCGCGCAACTGTCGTCCAGTAAAAAAAATGCAAAGACAAAACTCGTTGTTGTGAATAATAACCCGCCGTATTTGAATAGAGGGTCACGTATTTTCACGGGAAACTAATCAAACGCGTGCGTTAACGCGCCAGCGTTGCAAACGCGGCCATCTTTTTTTTCGAGCCACACCGACGCCCGTAAGAGATTAATAAACGCCGCGTTACGCTAACGGTGCACACGCCGCGGTGTGCGCGCAAACCCTACCGTCCGGGCTCGGCGCCACGTTCAAAAGCAAAAACGCCGCGAAAACGAAGCGTCCCGCGCAAAACACAACCTAATCCAACGCGCGCCCACTTGACCGGATAGACGCGCGCTATTTATAAGGCGCGGGTAAAAAGCGACCATACCTACGCGGCCGGTCTTCCTGCGCTAATCGGCGCCAATTACTCGCGCGCGCGTGAGTGTGCGTGCGCGCGGCCGTGTGCGCGCTGCAGTTCGCGCCGCGGTGCGCGGGCGCAGCGCCAGGCCTTGAATTCGTACAACGACTGCACTCGTATCGCGCTATCAGTTCGGAAACGTACGGAGCGCGCCCGCTCCGCTCCCGCGCGAGATTCCGTTTTTTCTTTACCACCTCCAACAATAAACGGCGGTGGTGCGATCCTTTTTAACCTGTCACCCTGCGACACTGCTGCACTACATATCGCGTACTGTCCATTTATCGTAATATATTCCAATTACGTAATAGAAAGTTCGAAATAATACCCAACGAAACGTAAAATCCCTCGTTAATTGGTAACTCCACAAGGCATCAAACAAAGATGTTGTAATTGTCTTTGTTTTAGTTTTCAATGTACCAGTATTTTCTATCTATTAATCTTAGAAATAGGTAATGTTTCGTAGGTTTTCTCCGTAATATCAAATAAAACAATTCTCAACAAGGCCTTAGATACGCCTTAGGTATACCAATTTATTGAAAATAAGTAACTTGAATTATTTATGGATGTCTATAATAGCCCTGTGTGACCTATATTTTTTCATATTGTAGAAGAAAATATGTTACGAAATTACGTCGTGGAGTATTTTAGTTGAACAATTTGGAAATAACGACTGTACATCATTTTTATAGCTATAAACAGACTATACTCAAATTAGAACAAAAAATGACGCATACAATATGTCTATATCCTTAAATTTAGTATTATCCGTCCCCAACTACCGAACATTATTATAATTTATTATAGCGTCTCCACGACGCTCCAAACACTTCATTTTATTATCAAATGCGTTATTCCAAACACTTGTTAGAACTTGTTTTAGCCTTATTCTTAGTTTTTTATTATATTTTATCTATCCATGTGAACTTTTGCAATATTCATGCGACTATCCGAACAGTTCCCACTGCGCGACACCACGTCGGCGCGCATCTCGTTTTACTCGCTCCGACACACTTCTAGCTGTATATAGCTATCTCGCTTGCTTCGGGGGATAATTGGCGCGAAGAGATTGATGATCTAAACACTGGATCGATCGCTACTTGGTCCCTTTTTGTTTACTCTTTTCCTTATTGCATTTCGAGTTCCGCTCAGTAATGACTCATTTGTACATATTTTTTACGATTCACAAATGAAATATTAGCCTCCGTTTGAAAAGCACTTGTTGCAAGAAAGTGGAGTTTTATTGAATAATTGACATTCACACACTTTATGACGTTCTTGAAGCACAACCGCCTAAAATAATTTCACCCATCGGAATTTTACACGACAACCTTATTTCAAAGTCAAAGTCAAACTTAAAGTATCTTTATTCAATATAGGCTTAGCTTAAGCTCTTATTGAACGTCAACAAAAAATCTACCACCGGTTACCTCAACTATTATTCTTGTGTTTAAAAAATATTCTAAAGAGGTGTAATTGATTACCTTCCTCGGTTTTTATATGACGGAATCGGTTACCGGACAAACCCATATTTCAAATGAAGTTTTTAACACAATTTTCTGTAGACTGTTATTGACTTAGTTTTATCAATACTTATTATTTACGAATTCCACGTAACGAACAAAGGGTTTCTTATTTATGCCCTACCAAAGAAGAAAATCGAACGGAACCCTCCCGAAGCAGTAGTTTTGGTCGACGGTTATGAAACTGAGTGGTTTTAATTGGTCAATATATTTTGTTTGGAGTCGTTTCTTTAAAAAATCGGGAAGAAGACAGTAAAGGCAGTAAACTGCGGCTGCATGCAAATTAAAATAATAATAAGCATATAATTTAATTATGTCCCACTGCCTAGCAAAGGAATTGTCGGGATAGTGTGTATCAGGGCTTAGTCCGCCGATGATTCTTAGGCAGACTTCGAGTATTTTCGAAAAATATATTATTTCGACGATGCACAACCCACGAGCGTAGTAAATATGCACATAACAATTTCATTCATTACCAGCACCGGGATTAGAACAGGCAATGATCGAAAATGCTGAATTATAAGCGTGTCCGGCCACTGAGCTACCATGGCATAAGAACGACACAAAAAAATCGGAAAATTTCACGTGGACATTAAAATTCATCGCCCCAACTCGTTGGCCACAAAAAACGCAATGTTACATAACGCAAGTCAAAGATACCGCCTGACCTTTTTTGATAACTTTCCACCCACCGCCTGGAAAATGTTTCTATTCGACTTCACATTTTAAAAACATTGTCATATTTGCTCTTGGTTATCACAGACGATATCATTTCATCTGTGTATTGCCCAAACAATTCGTGAACGTAAATAGCCTTCTTCACGTGAACAGTGCGTCTTAATATGAAGCTGTGAAACTTCGGCACTTCTTGAAGAGCACTTCAAGAATTGCCGGAGTGGAATATTTATCGGGATCGTTAAATTTGTTGGTATTTTTTGCATCTTTACACTTTCGCTTTATCGCATTTATTTAATTTGCAAATGGACTTGTGGATTTGTTCAAGGCCAAAACTCTCACCAACATGTCTATGGTGGCCTATGGAGGGTATATAAGTTTGACAGCGCTGGAAAGTTTGGTTAAAATCAATCAGGGTATATTACAAAATAGTCTACAAACGACCATGCTATGTCCATTTCAATTTTAGAATTTTCAAAATACACGGGTAACAATATGCCATAACACAAATTATTCGATCCTTTTGTTTCTTTACAAAAACCAATAAGCATCATCATTGACCTCGTCTTGTTAATGCTCATTACAACAGAAAACTATCGACATCAAACCTAGGGCTATATTATCTTTATTATCTCAAATATTAAATAGCCCTACATTTCTGAGTAACCATTTCAATGTTGCCTTATTACAGGATACTCGTAATCTTATATTTTTGAGCCTGAGTATTCACGAGCAATTTACGCTCCAAAACGTTTTTCCAAGTGGCCTCCTCTTATGATTGCGATAACATTATTTGTATGGATTTAATTATGATTAACTTTCAGTACTTTAGGACGCAAAAACTTAATATTGCCGCAAGGGGGCAGGAAAATCAAATATTCCCAACACATCCATCTGTTTTAGATATAGAACAAATATAAAATTGGAGCATGTCTTTTCGACGTATTTTTGTTTTATATGAAGAATAAACCTTTATTAAGTTAAAATGCCCTTTGATCTAACTTGAGCGTCTCAGGTGTCTCGTTTAAATAAAGTCGTCATTAACTCCTTGAAATTACTGACTAATTGCCTCACCGTCGGACATCCGGTAAAACTTTTTGTCCGGACTAGTAACTACTCTATTTATGCCATAAGATGATTATGTGATGGATGTATGTATGTTCGTATTTTTTACACACTTTTACGACCTTAATAATTATCTCGGGCTATGTAACTCATGACGTTACGACAAGCGATGAGACGTTTTCTCTATAAAAAATAATAAGCTTAAGAACGGCTTTTCAAATATACTATTATTATTATCCGTATTAAAATGTTGTCCACACAAGAATGTATTTTATAAGCTGATAAATATTAATTGTCACTAAAAGTGGATGCTCTTTTCCAAAATTCCAATATTCATTTCTTTCGCGTTTTTTAGAAACTTCTAAACATTTTAAGGCTTCCTAGAATTATTTATATGCCGGCGGTACATTTGCAATGTACGATTACATTCACATTAGTTACCTAAGACGTCCATTCATTAAAAAAAATCTCGTCCGATGAACACGAAACACCCTGTCAACGGTCCAACAAACATCAGCCTGTATTCATCTTCATAGGCCAAATTGAAGAATGACATTGGTCCTACATACGTCGCGTCCCTATGGTTGATATCCAGTGGCGAAGACCCGCCGACGCGAGCCAATTCTCGGCGGGCGTGAAGAGCGCACGGGTCGCGTTACGCTGGCCGAGTCACTGTGTCACGTGGCCGCAGCGCACGCGCAACTTTATTTGTAAAGTCGGTCAATGCCCCGAGCGTTAGATAAAAAACACACACACAAATTGTTTACGCGGTGCGTTACGCGAAACTACGGCCACGCTCGCTCTAAGGTCATGTTTGTAGTCGATGATTTAAGGGATTTTTTACGGATATTTATTATTACTGAACTCAAAATGATGTGAGTACGATTATGATAGCGTCATCGCTCGCTCTAATCGGCACGGCTTCCGCTGAATGCAATTATGTAAGCCCTCGAGAATGCTCAATCCGACAACTGGGTCATCCGAGAACCGATTGGAAACGATATTCGCTTCCAAGTCGGAAACCGCCCCCGCAAACGGAACCGCGGGTAATGATTACAGCAAATTTTCCTCTTAATTAAAAGACTGTGCTGTAAGTCAGTCGCGCAAGTAGCCGGGAGCGATCCGCGGAGGTTTTCAGCCAGCCTAGTGAAAGCCCGTCGGGCCAGTCGGGAAATTGAGGAAAGCTCGCCGAACGAAAGTGGAAAAAGCTCCGGCGCGCACACACGGGCACGGCGCGGCGCGCGCGTGTGTGCGTCGCCCGGCCGCCGGCGGCGCGCGGCTGTGTGCACGCGCGCACACCACGGCGCCGCCTACGAAAACGAAAGTGCACGAAGAGCGCCGAGCGGCGCCGAAGCGCGCTCACGAAGTCAGTGGAACTCGCCGGTGAAACTGGGACATCGCGTCAGTCAGTCCGCAATTCGACGCGAACGCGGGCGGACGCGACGCGCGCTTAGCACCGCACGACCTCACGACGTCCGATCTGGCAAACGCGTTGCGCCCAATGACATAACTGGCCCGTGACCATGGTGCCCCTGTGAGTTGTCAAACATGATGGCCGTAAAGTACGAGGCGCGGGCGGCGAGTGTGGAGCCGGCGCGGCGGTCGCCGGCCGCGGAGCCCGAGCGGCGGGCGCTCAGCGCGGACTCGGAGCCGAGGACCCTGGCGGCGCGGAAGGCCTACCCCGAGGCGGAGGACGGGCCCCTGGACCTAAGCACGCACGCGCGCAAGGAGATCGCGGTGCGCGACTTCGCCCGGCACCCGTTCGCCGACCCGGCGGACTACGTGCGCGCCCAGGTGATCCTGCGCCAGTCGCGGGAGTACCTGGCCGCCGGCCGCGACTCCGGCACCGAGTCGGACGACTCCGCCGAGCGGCTCAGCCCCGGCGGCGCCCTCCCCGGGAAGGCGTACAAGAAGTCACTCATGAAGAGATACAGTAAGCGCACGATCCCCGCTGCATGCTCACCTTCCCCGACCGTCCGGCGGCTCCTCGCGATGATTCCGATTTCGAAATCGCCGTCTCCGAAACGGTTTATTTCCGTACCTTCCTGTAAGCCGCTTACCGCTTGCCGGCGATTTCCTTGTTTTCGTAACTGGGCAAAAGTTGCCCGTTGCCACAGCGGCGGTCGCTTTGTCGCGAACTTTCCCCCGAAATGCCGATTTTTCAACACCTCATACCCGTGGAAGCCGGCTGTAGTTAATCTATATTACAACGTTGCCTCACACCGGAACCGAAATAGATTAAAGTTACTGTAATATATTTTATATTGAGCATTACGCCTTTAGAAAAAGGCTGGTTACTAGCAGTGACTATCAAGTTTCTTTGATGTCCATACAACATATTATTTGTTGCTTAAAACTTTTGTACTTGTTTTCCTTTGCATACATTAAGGGATTACTACGGTCTACGCTCGTAGCAAGGGTTACAAGAGGCTACGATCCCGTTTGCCCAGGATCTCATGAATAGCTTTTAAACTCATTAATAATAAGTATTATTAAAATAAGTTAAACTTAAAGCATGTGACAAGCATAAAATACGGTTAGACTGAATAATTTTGGCATTAATGAAGCATTATATTCATTTTAAGTGTTTATATGTTGGAATATTTAACAAACCTAAACTACGGGGTGTCATAAACTAGCAAAGTAAATACATGATTTTTAGCAGTATATTTAAGATCGATATTTATGTATTAATTAAATTGTTTTAGCATTATGAACCTCCCATTAGATCCCAATTGACCACGTCTTAGCGTGGTAACAGATGTAGATATTAACTAAACAACCTCTCATTTAAGTTAAGATGACATTAGCGGGTAATTTCTCCAGACATGTTTCTGGGTCAGCGATTCGTTAAGCGGGTTCCGTGGAAAAATCACCAGAATTCAGTGAATCGGTTGATTTCTCTTTGTCATTTATTCTCAATTTGTCCATTGATTGTTTCGGACGGACCTTCAAATAGGTAGTCTACGTTATCAAATATTCTTTTGAAATAACGCCAGGTGTTAAAACAGAATCGCTCTTTTCAGAGACTTTGATTTTTATTTCCTTTTTTTTATGTTTTGTATATATATAATATAATGTATGGAATAGTGTAATTATTCTATAATTTATATTACTTTATTTATTACTGCTCGTAAATATAATTGTTATATGGTTTTAGAGCTTTTATTTACTTTTACAACTTATTTAATTTCTTATCTCAGCAACATTCAATAGGAAAACTGGGTGCCAGGCCAAGATTTAATTTGAATACAAGACAAGATTTGTGTATAAGATAAATTAATAAATAAGACATTCGAATGTTCCTACCGTCAAAAGTTTAGGAACCGCTGTTATACGTCGAGTGTTCGGTTCAACTAAAAGTTTGAGAATAGCTGATACATCGGGGCTCGAGCGTTTTGCGAGAAAACATCGCGCGCGCCCAAATAATCCGTTTCGCGTAAACAAACCGCTTTACGTAGTAAACAGCCGGACAAACACACAATAAGCTATTGTTTCCGAAGAATGCGAACGTGGCTCCGGCTGCCAAAAGAACGTCATCCGCTAAAACGTCTTCCCAATTGTCTCTTCCCTAGCGACGGCGTTAGTTAGTCTGTCATAAGTCCTCTGATGATTCGATACAGAAATTACTACCCATCGGTCCGTTTAAATGATATGATTCTAATTTAACCATCAGAATACATTTTACCTTAGCAGTTGTTAGTCGCTTTTACTTTGTTTTGCCATCAGAATTTTCTTAATGCCATCTCCGTATTTAATACTGCCACATGTGAGAGGTAGTAAAGTACATACTTTGGTCAGAGAGGTATTTATTTGTAAATGTAAAATTAAAATTGAATTTTGATACACATGAATATTTGTAAGCACACCTTTAAAGTACATCATAACTCGGTAGATAAATTAAGTATTTCAACGCTGAAAATAATCTGTGTTTTTAATCCGTCACTTCCCGAGCCGAGGTCCTTCTAATGTTTTATGTTACATCACTTTAGACTTCCGAGGCGAGTACTAGGTCAGACTCCGCCGTGGCGCTTTTTTCGTCGTATTTTCCCGTTGGCCCCCGATAGAGGAACGCCGGCAGCGGGCTGTCTACGGAGGCTGGGTCGTATTGATCATTAGACCCCAAATCCCCTCGCGCCTATATCATAATAGCGCTGTATGGATTACATATCATTTTCACGCACAACCATCAACCTGGGACTCCTTTGTGTAGGACTCTACATTTTCGCATACATTTGCTATCTTTACTTTTCTTAGTCTACCTTTAGGGGTCTACGGATCTAATCACTATTATTTCATTACTATACAAATATACACAACACTGTTAATCGCTTTGTAAGTTTTTTTAATATCCTATGTCGACGTGAAGATTTTTTGTTTGATTACGTTGAGCACTATATTCTGATTACTTTCAGCGAGATTTCCCCAAACTTTGTTCCGCGTAGCAACAACACAATTTTTTCCTCGTAAGTCTTATATAGGCTACGTCATAATTGTCCCGTTTTGAACTCTCGAGTTGACCAGGTTTTTCTTTATGTAAGAAGATGGCTGGTGGTTGCCCTGGTTATTTTATTTTTCTTATTCATCTGATTATTAAATAATTATAAATGTCCATGGACATCTGCAACAGACCGTAGGTTGCAGATGCGTTGCCACCTTTTAATAAAGCTCCGGTTTCACTCATCAGATGAAACACAGAGTCATTTACTTTTCCACTCCTCGGTCTTCCGTGGTACGCCGGACTTGCCCATTCGTACAACAGTGAAGACTGCGGCGTGGCACTACCACAGCGCACATACTTTAATTCCGTTGCAAAAGTATAGACTCCACACTATACTATCTATGTGAGCGTGGCAAGTGAGCTGGCGGTTCACTTTAAGTGGTAACCGCCGCCCATGGACATTTGCAACACCCGTAGGGTTGCAGATGCGTTGCCACCTTTTAATAAAATGGGGACCCGACTACCTCACTCACCAGACGAAATGCAGATGTAGAACACTTCTGATTCACTCCGGTTTTCTGTGAGGCCGTGGTACCACGGACGGACCTGCCCATTCGTGCAACAGCGAAGACTGCTGCGTGGCCCTACCACAGCGCAGACACGTTAACTCCATTGCAGGAGTGTTGTCCCGCAATACGCTAATAAGGGATCGTTTCTAAGCTCTCTCGCCTACACGCAGCACCTGGACGTCGATCCGCACATTATAACGAAAACAACGAAGCTGACACAAGCTGACGGCGCAGCGTATATTTCCGAAACAGCACTCGCCATTGCTGCGTCGCATTACGAATGGGGTTCAACGACCCGACGCGGAAACCGATATCCCGCAGTCGGCATTTTTGCGTGCGCTACCCAGAATCGAGTGCAGCACGCGACACTTCCTCCTGTTGTCGTCTCGGTCGCGTTCCAATTACAATCGACAATGCTGACGAAGCCCGCAGCAGCGCAGCACTTTGCCACCTCTCTTTCTTATTCTATTTTCGAATTGGCGATGTCGAAGCGTTCCTCAGGTTTTTTTGTAAATGGAAGATGGCGTCAAACGTGCAAACGGGTCACTTCATGATAAGCGGTCACCGCCGGCCATGGACATTTGCGATTTCAGTTGAGTCGCAATTGCGTTGCCGGCCTCTGAGGCAGGAGTAGGCTCTCTTCTTGAAGGTCCCTAAGTCGTATCGGTCCGTTGTTCCGTTTTTGAATAGCAATTAGAGAACACAGAAGAAGTAGAATCGTTTTTCCGTGTAGTTTTGGCTCTATCATGTTGCACTCAAAATAGCCGAGATGTTACCAACGATGTCTCTGGAAACTGACAACTAGGATCTCGTGCCAGGTAACTGGGACTGTTCACTTGGGATGTGTAAAATCTATGAATAGAATCTCCAGACATTATCTAGCATACCACACTTCACACGTCAATCCGGTAGCACTGTCGCACTTTACAGGACCTTTATATAAAATATAATCATTGCGAAAACACCTAGCAAGGTGTATGGAATAGCTTGTATACGAAATTCATACAGTTTAATAAGAGATTTTAATTGCATGGTATAAATACAGTACAGGATCTATCTTTAAGATGTATAACATTAGAGAAAATAATTCCAATTGTTACATATAAATGCGAAAATACATTTATTATGCTTGTAAGTTGTACTTCAGTTGCCATAAGCGATATTGAAACAGTGGGGTTTCCCTAGCTTTAGATGTCACTAGTGGAGCACTAAGGCGTTGTTACTAATCAATTATGGAAATAAGCCACAATGTTTGTTGCATTGTTTATTTGCTCTACGATGGGCATAATGAGAAGCCTCGTGTTCTGCGTGATCGCGGTGTTTTGCCTTATTTATAATCTGTGACGCGTTAATTGCACCGACGGCGGGGACCGCGCCACGTGCTCATGTCTACCGCCTCCGCGTGCGTGTGTTCGAAAGAGATTGGTGCTTTAAAGCGTCGGCAAATTCAGACGTCGAGGCATTAAGAACAAAGGGATACTTTATGCCACATACTCGGCAAAAATTCATCAGCCCGACGCGCTAATCTACGACAGCTGTTTACGCGGTCGCCATCTTAATTCGGATTCCTAATCGGGCAACTATACTTCGGAGCGTTATATGTATAAAACAATCGCAAATCAATCAGTCTCGACAGCGCCTATGTTTGCGTCGCTGCTGAACACGTCGCGGGTTTTAAAAAAATGTGCGCACAAAGGGTTCCGTACAATTATCTATAAAAACGGCAAAATAATACGTCTGTTGTATGGGAGCCACACTTGAATATTTTTTTATTGTTTATAGCGGCAATAGAAATACATCATCTGTCACGGTTCATGAGATGCAGTCTGGTGGCGAACAGACAGATATACAGCGGAGTCTTAGTTACAGGGTCCCGTTTCACCCTTTGGGTGCGGAACCCTAATGGAAACCGCGGACGTAACGCGACACCGAAACAGTCCGCGACCCGCCGCCATACTCGGAAGTGACCCGGGCGTCGAACCCGCGCTACGGCGAAACGATGATGCGGCCCCGCGTTTGCTGACCGCGCTAATTCTATAATCGCCCGCATAATTGTCATTGTATGCATATTGGCCGCCATGTTTGGGTGGCGATTCCACATTGAAATGTTGCGATCTTGGTGCTACGCGACGCTCCAAAGTTGTTGACCTTTTGTTAGATGCGTTGTTTCGCGATACGTGATTCGGGCCGGGCTATTTTGCGGCCGGTCCGGGCTTCGATTCCTACTCCTTTATTCAGCCTCTAGTTCTTCAAAGAATAAAAGATCAAAATTATATAATAACGATATGGAGAACAGCGCAAACGCACGCGCTCTGCCTTGGATTGTAAAAAGACAATTAACATTCCAAGTAACTTAGCAGGTATTTTTTTCATATGCTCAATATATTACACTCGGTGTCTGATAGGAGAATAAACTAACGTAAATTTTATGGATAACCTTCTAATTCAGTTCAATCGGTAATGTCATGTTAAGATTTTCGTAGATCAAAGAGTAAGCATCTCCAGAACTGTCCACACATTTCTTACCTATTTACAACCGTTAAATGTCTTGTCGAAGTCAATCATCGTGTTATTTTTTTACAGAGGGCCCCTTAAAAAGCTGTTCTTGACCCTATTATTTGTAGAACGACATGAACTAGTACATTACGCGCCATTTTGAATAATTTGACACATGCAAAATTATGCACGCCATTTCTTATTTCGATGATATTTATGCCGGAGCGCGGCCGATATATGTCGCGAGTCATCGGAAAAGTGATCAGTGTCAAAACAAACTGTATATTAGCTTATTTTATTGTAAATGCGGAATATTCGAGTGATAAAATTAAGTGTTCAGAAATCGTCCGGGAGTCCGCCGCGACGTTTCTGTGTCAAACTGTATTTATAGTGCTTAAATTGCTGAAAGTCGTGAATGAGAGCTGAATCAATCTTCCCGATGCTCCAATTTCCGTAGCGATTAAGAATTATTTAATATACGCTTAACTCGTTATATCTTATTTACTGACGTTTAATGGCGTTATGAGTGTTATTTACCATAACGTTTTGCGAAATCACCGCCAAAACTCTACTATGCACACGCTTGTGACCGTGCGTCACTCGGAAACAGGAAAATCAAGCTTGACGCCTTAACTTATCACTGCGGTGACCCTTTGTTTTGTAACGGCTTGGATTCGGTGACACAACTGCGATGGCTTCTGTATGGCATGTGAAGCAAATTCCTGCACAAGTCTCTGACTGCATCCTTAACGGCTGCTGTGTTTAGGCAGTTCGGACAGACTCCTGCCTGTTCTAATAACGGTTCCGTACCCAAAGGGTAAAACGGGACCCTATTACTAAGACTCCGCTGTCTGTCCACCTGTCAACTGGCTGTATCTCATGAACCGTGATAGTTAGACAGTTGAAATCTTCACAGATGGTCTCTTTCTGTTGCCGTTATAACATCATTTACTAAAATACAGAATAAAAAAATGTTTAAGTGGGGCTCGCATACAACAGACATGATTTTTTTTTGCCGTTTTTATAGTTAATGGTACAAACGCTCCGTGCGTTATTTCGACTCGAACTTGGCTGTTTTTTTATAATCTAGCAGTCAAGGCAGCACATTAGATATCTGGCGACCTGTCAAAGGTCGCAGGAAACCCCGCTGTCTGATAGCATAGCGACCCATTGCTCCAGATTCCCATGGCCCGGGGAAAGGATATCGGGAACATTATCCGCGCAGCTGCCGCCTCTCTCTTAACCCTTGCACGATACCTGTGGGGGCGGATCGGAAGTGAAAGGTGCGTAAAAAATCCCGCGCGGTGCGTGACCGGAAAGGGCCGGGTGCTTCGCCCAATCAGCACCCTGGATGCAGCATACAAATCCCATTCATAACGGCTGATTAATGAAAGGCAACCATTTAAGTGACACATTGGAAACTGTAACTATCCAGCAAAACATTATCTGCCCCGTGGCGTAGGACTCCTGCCTTAAAGGCTGAAGATTTTCGAAATTTCCCCGAATTTCCCCGAAAGGCTGGCAACGCCTCGACAACCTGTCTCCGAACGTCTGAAAAGTATTCGAAACGTCATGACTAGGGAATCGATTTACGAGGGAATCAAACTAGCCCTATCAAACATGTCTGACTTGTTACTGTTTGTTACTCGCGTGTTTGCGTCATTTGCCCGCTTGAGCTTGCTTGAATATATCTTAAAAAATCCATTTAGGATCAAATCATTCAGCTCGTCGCATGATGAAGCAATTATTATTACAAATTCGGTGTAAACGCCCGACGGAATCGCACGAAACGGCTGTCGCCTCGCATTAAGCCCCGTGGATCGGCGCTTAATGGATCAACGTATTTATTTGGCGTTCCGCAGATGACCGGCGGGCGCTTCCAAAAAACCGGCGGTCGCCGTCAAAGGTCGTTGTTCGTCGAGATATTTGCATAAATTATTAGCCGAGGAGCGTCGTTTCGCCACCGCCTCGCCCACCGCACGGCGGACGCGCTGCCCGTGGACAAACAACACGAAACACACGCCAACCGACCGGCTACCTGTCCTAGCGCATTCGAATCTTGGGCCAATAAAGATTTGTGAAAAAAAAAAACCCAGTATTAATTTATCTCACGCGTCGCGTCTCACGTAAATTATTCATGAGGTCCGATTTAATACGAACCCTAACGACAATGCGGTTAGGTCAGAACTTTTGACGTTTCCACAGATAACATACGACCGTTCGGCCCATTGTAAACAATAGAATGTAAAAGGGCGAGGAAGGGTTGTTCTTTTTTTGAACGGCTTCCTGGAAGCAGTGCATCCCAGTCGCTCCCTATGCGACGGCGCAGGCGCGAAAGGGACGCCGCCAGAAAAATGTATTCGGGCCCGATTTGATCTTTTCTCGAATGCGATTTCGGTATTCGAACGGCGTTGGCGCATCCGCTTTTAGCGTTTTCCAAAGTAAACAAACCAACAGACGGAGCTTCGGGGCCGCCGATCGGTAATCTATGCGTAAACGCTTTTACAACTTCCTCGGGGGAGTGTTTTTTGACCAATTTCCTCGGGCGAATGTCACAAAAAAAAGCTGTTGAAATTACTAACAGACGACGCTGCGGACGCGCCGGCGGGCGTGTTATCTGTTATTTATACGCTATCAGTAATTTCTATGCGTTGGGGGCCGAACTGTGCGTTCGCCGGCGCGTTTTTGGCCGGCCTTCAACCGGCGCGCAAGGCTGCTAGATTTCACAACGGCGGACGAACGCACGGGCGACCGGCCGAGCTCCATGCGCGGCCGCCACACTCGTGTGTACGTTTTTCCAGTAAATTCGGCGATTATCGCTGTGGAGGAAACTATAGCCGAGCCCGTTCTTTGCGGTGCTCTTACAATTTCGATACTAAATAACCTGCTTTTTAATTGTGGTAGGGCCACGCAGCAATCTTCGCTGTTGCATAAGCGGGCAGGTCCGTGAAGGGAAGTAACACGAACGCACAAAAGACCGGCGTGTTTCACTCTTGATTAAATAGTGGCACGTGTCTGCAACCCCGCGGGTGTTGCAAATGTCCATGGGCGGCGGTCATCACTTAACATCAGGTGAACCGTGAGCTTGTTAGCCGCCTTCTCACATAAAAAAAACACCTCTAAACAACCAGAAAAAAACTCTAAACAACCAGTTATGTCGCAGCCGATAGAAAATATGAGACGATCACGCTAAGCCGACGGAGAGAATCTCGTTAATAGGGTCATACCCTGGATGCAGCATACGGTGAAGGTAAAAAACCGCCGGTTTCCGTAACCGTACACCGCTCACCTTGCTCCGATCATCCGTCCCGGTGGCAAAAAACTTAACCCAATTTTTAAAACGCCCGCTTAAAAAATCCTACCTGCCCCGTTAGCGGACGCACCCCCGCTTCAAAACGGGGGCCTAACAGTAAAGCGATCGTTTTTTGCGGGGACATTTTTTCGCAACTTTTTGGCAATGCTTTCGACAGTTGTTAATTGTCAGATTTATGGTCGCGTTCCTTATTACGCAACGGTACCTTAAGGGCTCCATTGTCCGCCGTGCTGCAAATGGATTTGTTTGGGTTTTTTTGGGTTTTGCGAAATTTAAGAGTTTCATTTGCACACAGAAACATTGTTGCCGGCGAAGTTGCAAACAATGCTCATATCGGTAACCCTATACATTAAAAAAACAATAACAATATGTCGCCGCAGCTTACGCTCGCTTTGTGCCTTCTTCAAATTAGTATTGTGATCGCGTTAAATGGGAATATGCATACAATAAAATCTAGATTCCGCGCCGTCGAATAGCAATAGCAATTGTGAAATAAAAGAGTCATTACGCGAGACGTCCGTCTGACCGGCGCATGCGTCATTCGATCGGGAGGTAGTGGCTGCCGTCTGTGATGTCACCACTCGGCCCGCTTCCGGCCACCTACAGCACGGTATTTGCTAACAGCGCAATTGTAATTGGGCCCGCACTAACTATTTTTTGGTCTTGATGAGCCACTGTTGGCCTTAGGGGCCTTAATAGTTTTCAGACTTGAAGTGGCAGGGCGCACGTGGCGCCGAGCCTGAACCTCGGCGCCGTACTAACTGCGACTGGAAATAATCAAGGCTGCATGCGTCGGGCGCCTTTGGCTCCCTTTTATATTACCCCGAACCCTCACAGTCCACGCAAGATGGACGCAACATGCAAACCCTGAACTGGCAATTTCATCTTTAGGCATCTGGCGGACGGAGTGTCGCTAAAAGTTTTCATTCAAACACCGTAACACCGTTCGATAGAGTTAAATAGTTTAGGGCGATATTCAATTGTTTTTTTGTGTTCTATGTAAATTTCAGGCCAAAACAAGTTTCTGGAGCGCTCCAGATCAGACGCTACGCAAACAATGTAAATTGGTGCGCTCCACAGGGCCCAGACTTGGGGTCCTGTGTTTTCTCAGCAAACTTTGCGAGACGTACTCGCTCTGTTTCGGTTAACATACAGTAATGTACGAGCGGGCAAATTATACAAACCGTTTAGAGTTAAGTAAATGCCTAAAACGTTTTTTTTATGAGCAAATAGACCTCGGCTCAGTTACTCATTCTTAATATTATATATAAATCAAGGCGAATAATTTCCAAAAATTGAACTTTACACGTACATCTTATTTTATGATTTCTTTTTTGATAGAAATATTATTTCTCCACATGCTCCCAATTGTGATGTTTCCAGGAAAAGGATATTTATCTTCGTCAAAAAACGTGTCTGCGAACATCACGATAATATATTAATATTAATGGTTTTGTGAATACTTTTAAAAATATATGAAACACACAATAAACATTATGGAAAAATTCGATCGTTTCCAAATTTCGAACATAGTTACATTTTACATTTGACCATGCTCAAATTTATCACTTAATGTGATTTGAGACCTCTTACTTATCAGGAACAGGATAGGAACGGGGTCCATTTTATTAATTGGCAATCCTCCTTTGCCATTATCGATGAGGCTGTAGCGTACCCTAAACGCTCCCTTAGATCTCCCTTTACATCGAACTTGTTGTCAGAAAAGGGAACAAGTCTACTTTTGTTAATATAATTATACACCCTTTTGCGGTGATACTATATATTAATCAGATGTTAATATTTTATATCAAGTATTTACGTATCAAGTTAAGATACTCGGTGGTGTCGAGAGTTCGGATCCTGCATTCGACGCGCTTTTTGTTAATTTTCGATACATTACAACGCGTTACCACCTCACATTTTTATTTTAAAGATGTTGAGATAAAACGTAATCGCGAATAACATCATACACCTATCGTTGTTGTGTTTTTCGCGAATTGCAACGATAACGCCGTAACCAAAGCAACGGAGTGAGGTTAAAACAATGTCATTGACACCGAACAGATGAGCAAGATTCACCGGCGATAACATTTACGGGGAAACGCTACGGCCGTAATAATACTTAATGCAATTTATGACGTCTTCGAATATACCGGAGTAAATAAAATAACGATCCATGTCGCTAAGCGTGGTCAAAATCAATGAGCGTATGAGCTTAACACGTCTTCTCACAATCTTGTCCCGGATTTCGTAGTATTTTCTTCAATATTTTACCAGTGATTGACCACAATCGTACCTGATGATTAACAGAGATGTATTAATGTGGATGTAAACGTCCTCAGGTGGAGATTATTAGTTCTTACTTTTAAAAGTCTCTCACATTAGTTAGCTGTTCATACAAGTTAATCCTTGACGTGTAAGTGACAGTGTTTAACAAAACTAAAAACACTTTTTGTTAGAATAACTTCCTGGCTTCATCTCTGCGAGGTGGTTACACAAAAATCGACATTGGGACGATCTTATAACAAAACTATACAAAGTTACTTAGTACTCTCGTGATAAACATAATGAAATCCTGGCTTTGATGACTCCATGGTGCTGTTGCAAAGGTATTGGCTTCAACGTCGGGGTTCATGGGTTCGATCCCCACACGGGACAACTATTTGTGTGACCCACAAATGGTTTTTCGCATCTGGGTGTTTGTCCACTTGAAATTTATGTTTGTAAAAATGTACACAACATCCTTACAACACAGGATAATATTATCCTAAAGTGAGCGAAATGTTTTTACCAAAAAAATGGAAAAAAGTGCGAGTCGGACTCGCGTATGAAGGATTCCGTACAATTATATCTCTCTATAAAAACAGCAAAAAATCTCATGCCTGTTGTAAGAGACCTCTTTTTATCCTGTTTTTAGTATTTATGGTTATAGCGGCAAACATATCATCTGTGAAAATTTCAACTGTCTCACTATCACTATTCATGAGATACAGCCTGCTGACAGACGGACAGACAGCGAAGTCTTAGTAATAGGGTCCCGTTTTACCCTTCGGGCTCGGAACCCTAAAGACATGAGCCCCAACAGTGTCAAGTTTGTGCACACGCGAGCCCAAAAAGCCGGTAGGAGTTTAGGAGCCACACGGCAGTTGGAAAGGCGCGCTTTCGTAAGCGTCGTGGGCGAACTCAAGGCACCGCCGTGCAATTTGCGTCACTCGGATATTGGGCAACGCACACACTCGCCTAGTGTGTCGTAAAAACTGCGCCACACTAAAACCACAGTCGGCCGCATCCTTAACTCCAACGCAGCAGAGGCCACTTTCGGGTGGCTGACGCCGGCCGCCCGGAAAGTAGGTCTTCGGTTCCTGGTTGTTTCTTTTATTTTTTCGACGTGACAATTCGCATTCATAATCTGTGGATGAATATGTTTAAAGTCGCCCCTTTACGCGGAACGATTATTGCAGGGAACAGGTCGCGGAGCAATGGCGATCGAGAATGATCTTTTTATTCTACCAGTTGAAAAATGTAGGAATAACAGAAACTCGGTTGACAACTCAATTTCCCGTATAAATATCTCCAGACGATATTGCAATATCCGGCCATACATCATTGTTGACAAAGCGCTGTATCAACGTCGGCCGCGTTTAATTAGCCTCGTATTTACTTTAAACGTTTTTACGAAACGTAATTTTCGTTGCCCAAACTAGTGTTTGACGAACACGCCATGTGACGTACGTATATTACCGTTGACGGTAAACGCATCAGGAAAGTAATAGCATAAACAAATACCGCTGCCCTGTGATTGGAAACGGCCAACAGGGCGAAAGCTGCCTTACTCACTAATCCTTCTCGCATTACACACGATATACCAAAGGCAAAAAGTAAATGAAATTAACAACCTATGTATGTCCCACTGCTGGGCAAAGAGAACAGAGAACAGAGTACGTCACGCGGACCAACTGCGGATTGGCAGTCTTCACATATATTTTAAATATTATGCAGGTCTCCTTACGATGGCCTTCACCGCTGGCTACGTAATAAGTCACCAATTTAAATTGCAATGAACGATTTCATTGGCGCCGGCACCAGGGCTACTCGAGTATATAGAATTAAAAGCGAGCGACCGGACACTGAGCTATAACATATTTCACGAACCGAACACATCAGCTGCGCCTCTGTTTATTTCTTTCGATCTCTTCGCACGCGTCAAAACTACTCACAGAGATCGGAAGGCGTTATAAAGAGTTTCGGTCTAAAAAGCGACTACTAGCGCGAGTTATATCCGTGGCGACGCCGAGAGCCGGTTAAAACGACCGGGCGGAATCATACCGGGCATCGGAGCCGGGCGGATGCGGCGGGATGCCGGCATTGCGCGCGCGCCGACGACCAAGCAAACAAACACGGCAAACACGCGTTATTGGGAGGGCGACTTCCACCCGCCTGTTTTGACAGGCGGAGTGTTTGCGTTCCGACAACACGCAACTGGCTTCTGAGAAGCCTCCTCTCACAATAGGAAGCGCGTGCCACGGCGTGCAGATTCCGCGAATCTCTACTAATGAGATGCACCGATAGATTGAACTGTTTAAGGTTTGTTTTAAGGATTGAACGGTTTCCAAGCGCTCATTTGTCCGACACAGTCAAAAGACAGACAGAGACATTTGACGGCCTAATGTTGCATTAATCGGGATTCGAGTAAATATTAGGTAGTCCAAATTTAATTAAGCTATACGATGAACGAACTCAGTTGGCGGAAAGATAATTTAATTTCAACCTATCACATTATTATTGCCTAATTTACATTAATCTCGACAATCTTTGGTACATAAGTAATGATCGGGCAATTTCTGACCAGACTGATTAATGATATTGATGATATTTTTTTGGTGCTAGTCTCTGCATTTAAGATGAAACTTATTGGCAGCTGGCAACATTTTGGGACAGTTTTACCTACACAATTGTATAATGACTATTTATACATATATAAGGAAAGAGCAGCGTCCGAACACTCTAGAAGTAACGGTTTGATGACTCAGTGGCGCAGTTGTCAAGGTATTAGCTTCGGCGTCGGGGGTCGTGGGTTCGATTCCCACACGGGACAACTATTTGTGTGACCCACAGATAGTTGTTTCGCATCTGGGTGTTTGTCCGCGTGAAATTTATGTTTGTAAAAATGTAGCTACAACACAGGATAATGTTATCCTAAAGTGAGGGCAATGTTTTTAAAAAAAAAAAGAAAAGAAAAAGAACGGAGTCTCTAAATAAAAAGAATCCAATTTTAACACGGGATACAGTAAACGGGTGCCGAATTGGCTGTTAGAGCCCGATACGCCCGACAAGCGAACAGTTTGGCAACATCTGAGAACCGGTCTTCTTTATGGCAGCACGGAACCACGAGGAACAATGTCTCGTCGGGTTGCGCAAGAGCAGACACGGGTAAACAGGAAAACGGCCGCACTCCAGCGCTAACACAGCCTAAATTTATAATTGTAGTATCGCTAACAATCTCGCTTAGCACGTTGAACGGATGCCAAATTCCCGCGCGATACCAATGAATACGTCGGGCTGATAATTTTCGACAACAGTATCCTTAATATAAATACATTGAAAAGCTTTCACCGAGCTATATGCGCATGTTAATGGAGACCTTTTTGTATATGGCGCCCTCGGCCGCTAACTTGTCAGGTTACACCGCCATTTTGACCGCCCACGATTCGCGAAGCGTTTCGCTAATATTTCCGGTTTTAGCGCCGCGGGGCGTCTCGGTGCCAAGATTTGGATCTCGCTCATTACAGGCAGGAAACCGTCTAAAATTTACTTCTTGAAGTCAGTATCGCAGACGATGTTCATGCACTAGCTATTTACTAGATATATCTTATCCTTTAAACGAGCAATTCTTGTGTATATATATATATATATATATATATATATATCGGAATCTCGGAAACGGCTACAGCGATTTTCATGAAATTTAGTATGTGCCTAGATTCGCGGGCGAAAAATCGAGGTTTCATTTTTATAAAATGTCCTTTTATCCCTGTTTTCAGAGAATGAAAAATATCATTCGAATATGACGGTAAATTTCGCCGCAAATATAAATGTTATAATAGCTCGGTCGGTAATCGGGCGGACCCAAAACAGACGGCCGCGGTTCGTATCACGATCATTTACACACTTATTTTTTTACTTTATTTTCGATTCCAGATCATTGCTTTCTTTATCTTTTATTTTTTGTCGATTTGTTATTTTTTTCCCTTTTTTTTTAGTTCTTTCTTTTGTGAAAAACACCAGTTCATATTTTCTTATTATTACGTCGGTAAGATCGAAAAATATTATGCATATTTCATTACTTAGTAATTTGTATCTAAATGTAATTTCCAAAATACACGATTTACCGAAAAAAAAAACAAACCGGTCCTCCAGGTACTTCATTGTTATCATAATAATAAGGTCTTGAATCAACCACAATCAATACTGAAATATATATATATATATATATATATCAAAAAACCTTTAATAGTCTTAAAATAAATCTACGTTGGCCTCTTTTTATCTCTCATTTAAATTTAGCACATTGGATTATTGTATCCTAAATATGATGTACAAAAACAAACGACAAATTATAGTACACCGTCTATCAAATTCAATTTAATCTGTACAGTACTGGCGTGTAAATTTAATTGAAAACACACAGAATGAAATACCATCATATGACACGTTCAAATCCCTCATCCTAATTAGTTTCAAAAACACGCTCGTGGACGCAACGTCTGATTACAAGAGCCAGTAACGTGAATTGGTACACTAATCCATCGTGGATGTCAATATCGGCAATCCTGTCAAACGAAAGCGCACGTATTGCAACCCTAGACTGTGCGGACGGCTGTTTACTACCGCGATCGCCGGAACCGGGTCAAGGGAGCCGCGGTGCATCGCGAAATCTCACTTTCGCGCGATGCTACTCGAATACCCCCCTCCCCACCCCCACTTCCCGCAGCGCCAGTCGTTTGTGGGTTAAACGCCGTTGCATTTCATGGTGTTTAGCGCATACTGGCGGCCCTCGACTGCTCGGCTTTTCGACTTATAATTGGCTAAATTCGAAAGGAAAATAACGTTTGACGGGATGAACGCGTCATATTATGTCACCTCTGTTTCAATATTTGGCTGTAAACTGTCTACTAATAAGCTTAAAAACTTTTTTAAGCTTATTAAATAAAAAGTCACAGTCTAATGAATGGTATAGATTATGAAAAGCTATTAGTTAGTGCAGCATATTTATTAAGATAGTTAAACGGGTACTTTTCTGAACACAGTTTAAAGTGTGCCGATAACGCTCCCTCCATTAGGTACGTAAACAGAAATTCATATCTATCTAAGTTACAACAATTCATTTCAATCGTTCGATAATTACGCCACTAAGTTTTTTTAATAAGTACTCAATGCACGCTTACTAAAACGCAAAAGGATGAAGAATACTCGTATGTGAAGTGTACAGGTCTTATATCGTTAAGCAGATTACATTTGTAACTTATGGATACCGGATGCTTCGCAAATACAAAATGGCGGCGCGGAACCTGTTTGTCACCCCGAACAAAAAATTCGTTCCGCTGTGAAATAATTTCATTATACCTAAAAAACTTACGATCGAAGCATCCGTGAGTAACTTACGGCTGTAAAGGTCACGTGTCACGATTGCAACCTCCACGGACTAGTGACACTTCCAAAGAATTAACAACAGATAATAAATGTGCGATGGAAACTCCAGGATTGCCACACACGAATTGGGCCGCGCTGGAATTAAAAACTGTATCAACTCGTGTTGCAACACCGTACACGTGTATAGAATTTGACAATAACAAACACACAGGTATATATCTAAGGCGGCCCGGCGTCCTTGCCCCTATTTCACCTTTCCTACGATCTGGTGCGTAATCATGATAATTCCTTATCGAGCGTAGTAGGATCTTATCGCGTCCGAATTAACAACACCAACCATACGCGGCGAACAGACCGAGATTTGGTTTACGGTTTATTTCGGTTACAGATTATGCAATTGGATATTTGGTAATCGAATGTAAGTTAGGGTGTTGACGCGGTGTAATCGATGTTATTACGGTATCCCACGGACAGCTACACCACCTTAGGGTTACCGATGAGTGCTAACGATCAAATTAAACAAAAAAAAATCACCGCACTCACCAGAAAGCGAATGTATACACTTCACACCGTTCTTTAGTCCCCGGGCGTGGCCCTATCATTGTATCAAAATCAAGACTATGAATAAATACTGTCTACCAAACGACGGTCAAAAGCGTTGAATCATATTTTCCATTTCGCCTCAAAATAGGCAAAGGCAAGCCCTTTGCGTCCTTACTTCTAATGGTTCGTTATTGAATTAATTTTGTATTAAAAGCGTCGACGCCAGTTTCCGGGGTCAAATTCCTCTTCGAAGGCGGTTCGCGTTTATAAGGTTATTTCGCCCCGATCTGATAAACTAATCTTTCATTTATGACGGAAACAAATCTATAGATTTATTATTTAGGAACGTTTTTTTTTATATTGGCCAGTGTAGCTATTATAATTTATATATCATTCACAGCTATATTCGGTGCAATTCTTTAGGATTGCTTTTGTTTTTTCGAAGCGGTTGATTAATAATTTCATCTTTGAAAATATAGCTGTATGACATTCATAGGACGTATTGCAACAATTTGTTCTCCGAAATAAAAAAAAATATTTAAATAGTTGTTTACGACTACCTGTAAAATAGTGAAATTTGGAATTAACTTTGTATCAAATTCCCTTTCACTCATTGTCATTTTAACATTTTAAATCGGGCCTCCAGCTATGATTTTTGTTTTAGAGGTATATAATCAAATCGAACGAATCTTCGGCGTCAGAGTTAAAGTACAAATTTATTTAATACTCTTAAGTATCGTTAACACAGAAAATCCTGCATGTTTATTACAAAGCCATGAATCAAAAACAAGAATCAAATCTGGCACACAAGAAGGCGCCAAAAAACGCGGACAGATAAAACAAACAGCCAGCACTGTGTACGAGGAAGAACCGCGTTTACAATGGCGCTAGAAAAAAAAATGGCGGCTTGTTTACGCCGCGCGGCCGTGGACGCCGGCGGCGAACGCGAGGCTGCACGTAGCACCGCCGCAAGGTGATCGCCGAAACTAAAAAACATAACGCAACCACGGCCGCGGTACAGAACTTTCGGGACATGACCAATAGACAATAGATTGCGACAGGCCGACGCGCGAAAAACACGCTCCCGCGTGTCACGACCCGCGAAATAACTAGTCCTGTTGTAGTGTCTACATCGAGTCTATAGCATTCACAGGTTTGCCACTGAAACATCTATCATTTTATTTTTGTTTAGTTTTCACATCCATCGTACTACAATGTTTTTTCGGTCCAGACAGGCCGCGACGACGCTGCAATTGTCTTGAGCGGTGTCGGGCACATCTCGTTATGACATAGTTCATCGCATTTTGCATTAAACGAGATTGCGAACGGATATAAAACATAGCTATGTGTAAACGCGAATCACAAGGCGCCGTGCGAAATACAACGCGCTGTACCCGGACGTGGAGAAAACGAGCGCGCGAATTTGGTCCTAATGACGGTGGGCTAGAGGTGATTACTTATATCGAGTGGTGCAGTGTTGCCAGTCGAGAAGTGAGTGGGAACCGAGAGTCGCATCTCGCCCTTCAAGCTCTTTGACCCAGTTAGCGTGCGCCGGCGCAACGCGAGCGGACGGACGCGAAACCTATTTGCATCGATAACTCGTTCGTTCGCCGGCTCTATGTTTTATTGTTCGCGCTCACCTATTGCGCAATCGCGGAGTTTACGTCGGCTCCATCTCGCGGATCTACGCTTGATAATGAAAAAAATATACGCACGCGCTGCTGGACAGAGACCGGCTCCGTACGAGGGTGTCAATGGACAGACTTCAGGTGTTTCAGAAATATTTTTCTTTGGTTATTTCACAGGTGAATTGAATTGTAATTGCAATAATTTGTGACGGGATTACAGATGTAATGGAAGCGCCGTGACACTGGCCTACCACGGATGCGTATCAACGCAAAATGCGCTCTAGAAATAGGCACTTAGTCCGGAGAACACAGGCTTTAAAGGCCTTCTAATAAGAATCCGGATGATACCTCTGGTCTTTCCGTCCGTGAGTCACTTGGTCGTCACGCAATACTTCTATAACGCCAAACGCATTCGCATAAACAAACTCGTCGCATTTCGGGCCGCGATTACCGAACGATCACCGTCAATAAACGAGGAAGGAAAATTGCCGAAAATAGATCCGGGATGTTGTCAAAACAAACTAAGTAACCCAGTAGCTCTGGGGCACGAAACACGACATAGAAAACAACGGAACAGACACAGAACCAGACGCTCCTTTGTAATATGAAAACAAATTGTTTTTTCGTTCAATAAACTAAGTTATTGATACTTATCACCGCTTTCTTTCTACATTTCTGTAGTTTTAAGGAATATCGACATAATTACAGCGCGGTATAAAATGCTCTTTTGCACGTTATTAAAATCGTTCGTGAATTTTAATATCTTAGTGGAAAAAACTCGCATCCGATATCTAGTGAAGTATTCGCAGCGTGCACTCGGTTATTAAAGTACGGGAGATAAACTCGTTATCAACGTAATCGCAACGGTTTCCATTTCGCGGCGGCGCGTCGACTTTCTTTCGTTTCCCGCGCGGGGAAAGTGCCCGCGCTTTTCCGACGCCATCTTTGACACGCTCCCCGCCAGCGGCGCGGCACGATTTGTCCGTGCTTCATAAAAAAAAGAATTTCAAGCTAATTTCGCAATGTAATCGCGTTACATCAATTCATATAATAATATGTACGACGCGTGCCTACTTTTGTTACATATTTCCTCGTAGCGGATCATATTTATAGTTCGTTTCTTAACTTTTTTTGAGTGCTGTGCGGGTAAAGTCGCTGAGTCAGTGCGGCCACAATTCGGACCGGCCGCTTGTAAACATTTGAACAGGTGGGCGGGAGATACGACGGGAGCGACGCGTGCGCCGCGCTCCGTTGGAAGGCGAAAATTTTAATGTCAACCGCCATTTTTCATCGGTGAGAGTTTTCGCGCTCGATTTAAACCGCTCCACAGGAGATGTGGCCGAAAACGTTTGTGTCGTAGATTTTTGTGAATAACAAATAGGTTACGTTTCTATTATAAAAAAATGTAAAATTTTATGACGACACAATTGTTTACGTACTTAAAATTTTTCGTATTATGAAATCATTATAGACGATTTAGACTGTATTGTTTTCCTTTATCGCATAGTTGACCAGACTAAATAGATTCTATTGAGTATACCGTAGCAAATCGTGAAAGAATATCATAAGCGATGCCATTCTTATCAAGAAATTAAGATGTTAGCGATGGGTGCGCAGGCGCCGCGTCGCAATTGCTCCGTGACTTGGGCTCTAATGATCTCGTCAAGGTCCAATCTTCTTATTGTTTCGTCATCGAAATTTCACGAGGAAATTCTCGACGCGGCCCCAGTTTTGGTTTCACAACACGTATCCTCAACTGACCGACCCAATTTCGAGGTGCGTTTAAAACGACAGACGAACGTTTTTCTTTAAATTTCATTGTTGCGTAATGTTTAAATGTATTAGTTATCGAGACTTGCACAGCAATTGACATAGCGATTGGAATTCTCCAACAACATAATCTTTGAAGCTTCGCAATAAGTCAATCAAGAACATTCGTCCATATCCAATACACTAATACACTTAATACTAATCAGAAACACATAATGAACCGATATAAGTTGATCCTCGAAACAGACCAGCCTCTTCGCGTGAGGGGATCGCGCCGTTCGGTCTCGCGGTTCGAAATAGCTATCGCTTCCCGGATGTAAGTCTCTGACGTCAGAAATCTCCGCTCGGTTTCCCGAAACGGACGCCGCCGACGTGTCGGTCGCAAAACAATGCTTAGCGTCGTTACAATAGAGCACCGTTTCCATCGACGGCCGCCGATGACCGCTCGAAATCGCGCCCAGGCCATGGCCGACCACGGTGACCGCTCGGTACGATAAAACGCTTTCGCAACGACCACCGGTGCAACGGCAGCTTGAGAGAACGCCAGCGACATTAAGGGCGTCTCGATTCGGGAGAGTTACGGCCCGAGTAGCGGCCGCGTGTTCTTTGGACGCATATCTCACGTCCAAATATACGCGGCCGTTCCGTTTCCCCAGCGGTCGGGTACCGTTAAGCCGCTCGCGAAAAGCTCTGACAATAATGTGTACAAATAACGTCCACCTTCTGTGTAAACAGAATATAAACGCGAAATCCCTGTTGCTGTCTGCCCTTATTACTCGAGTGACATCTTTGAAGATATCTAACCCCGAAGACGTTGACTTTAGACTTGTCTCCTGCGCCAGTGTGGTGCGATCCCCCATATTGTGTAATGAATATAGTGTTTTTAGTTTGTTTGCATGTCTTGTTATCAGTTATCCATGGTACAAGCTTTGCTTAGTTTGGGGCTAGACTTATTTTTCAATATCTTGGTGGATTTAAGTCAGCTATTGATATAGTCTCTCCGTACATTTAATGCTGGTGCCTCTATCAATTTCTATTCTCACAACTTATTCTCACTGGAAAGCTTAGAATAACTTCAGCCATCATCTTAGCGAGAGAGTATAAACGTATTTAGCATATGCAATTTTCGAAGTAGACGAAGTATATTAGTATATTAAGATAAGTAGAAACATGATTTATTGGCGGGTGAGCGTTCACGCGTGTCCGTCGCGGTTTTCCTTAACCGCTTTAGGAAGCGGTGCAAATCACAGGAGGGCAGCTGTTACATAACTTAACTAGCGACCCGCTTTGGCTTCGCACGGGTGCAATGTATTATACATATAAATCTCTTCTCGAATCACTCTATCGAGTGAAAAAAACGCATCAAGATCCGTTGCGTAGTTTTAAAGATCTATGTATGCTTATACATAGGGACAGACAGACAGTGGGACGATTTTGTTTTATACTATGTAGTGATTGGAGAAAACGTAAAATACAACCTTTGTATTTGGGATTCATAAATAGCTGCATTCAGTGTTTCTTAATTATGATATTTCGAAAATGCTAAGTAAGAGGCCGCCTAACGGACCCTGCCCTAATATTCTTTATACTGTTGTCTACCTGCTCATAATAAACTCTGGAAAACATGCAAAACCATCGCCACTAACATTTCGCTAAACGAAAACACGGTCAACCGAGATTCGAAGTTAAAATAATAAAAATGTTATTTTTTTCTCTGGCAAGAAGTCAAAGAGCCCGTCTGTTCCAAACTCCACGTCTGAATAAGTAAAATCATTATTGTAAATTTTCATGTTTTAACCGTTACGAGATCCATGCGAACAAAGAAGCGAATAATAACTAATATACCAAGAAAGTATGAATAAGTTTCATTTCGAATTAGAATTGTTTCTGAAACTTTGCTCCAAACAGTGCCCCGACTTAAGCAATGACGTAAATCAACGTGACGCGATTTTTATTAATAATATCGTACCATCGATTCTCGCTACTTCCTCCATTAGCCGCTCCTTATGGGTCGACCGAAGCCCCACCATTCATTTACTCCTATTTTTTTCTTAATAACGCCCTACAAAATCTGGTTTCGCTTCTCACAAAATCCGCTTCTCTTTGAGCCGTTGACTTATCAAAATCAACGCCAATATGTTGTTTAACTATCTATTAAATTACTAAAAACTGTCTTGATGGATCAGTTAGAAAGGCAGTGGTTCAAATTACTACTAACGAAAAGTATTTAATTGAAAAAAATCTTATATATCATATTGAGGTACAATTTTTTTTCTTTCAATTTTCGTCTTACAAAATAATTCTATAGACCGCTGCGGCAATCTTGATTTATTTATTTTTAATAATACGTCAACTCAAAATTCAAATTAACCCATATTGGATAGGCGATCTATACGTGAATCTGTGGGGGATGCCTATGTTCAGCAGTGGACTCAAACAGGCTGAAATGATGACGGCAATTTGCCACAGACTAATTATCTGCTAAACATACTGTTGAAAATACCTCATTCGCGAGAGAGTCATGTCTGACATCCTGAGCTTTAATTATTTCCTCTCGTATAACAAAAAGAATTTGTAACGACATGTCTTCATGCACAATTCATCTTGAAACGAAACATCTCTAAAATAATCGTTCCTGTGATCTGTTTGATGTGTCGCAGTATATTAATAAAGAAAACAATTAAGGATACCGCATAAATGAAACCGGTTTCCCGTCGAAATTCCAAGAATTTGGACAGATTATAAAAACAAAGCGATAGAGAGAACTTATTTTGTTTATACCAGTGACGTCTGCTTGCTGTTATGGCTAAAACGTCACAGAAATCATCTGGAACTTTCCATAAAGCCGTCCGGATCGATAAATATTTTTGTGACGCGATAAATTCAACGTTTATTTTAATACAAGTAGAGCTTATTACATACACATTTCGTTATATTCTTTTTTGTTCAGAAATGTGTTTTCACCAATCCAGACCACGTACAAAATATGTATGAGAAATTTAAGACGGCGGACGAGATTTTTCTCCGTCGATAACTTAACGAATTCGGAGAACGGAATCGGTTGAAAGAGTCTACGATATTGAACGTTACAAGGAAACACTTTCGTGCTTTGAGTACACCCTCCATTTTTCTTCTTAGAAATGTTCGGTCGAATGGGCGCTTTTCGTTATTCTTATCGGCGCCCATCGGGTGCGACGTTGCCCGTGTCGGTGGACCGAAAAGGGGAACCAGCGATCGTTGCCCGCGTTTAGACGGCACGCCATGTTCACTATTCCACGAGCTAAACTAACGCTGCAACGGGAATGACGCCAGTAAAAGTGGGGGGGGCGCGTGCATTCACCTCCCCGCCCCCTCGTCCGCCCGCCCGCCCCGCTCGGCTTATGCAAGTTAGTTAATATTTCAGCGAAGCAGGAAAGTGAAAGTGGTTTCAGCTGAATTACTACGGAGCTCGGTGTCACCTACCCTCATGAATACGACAGCAGGGGCGACCCCCGCGGCGTTCGTGCACTGTTCACATTAAATACGTCTCGGCGAAATGGGAACGTTTTGTAAAACTTCTCCATCACGAATCTTGATGCCACTAGTTGAACAAAGCTCGGCTAATGTCAATGCATAAAATGCGATAGTATATAACACATATTCGTAACTATCACCAGTCATGGTAACTTCCAGAACAGTGGATACTGCGATTAGGGTCGATGGCGGTAGTAACACCAGAAGACCATCGTCCGGTAAAGTATTCATACTCTGGCGTCTGTTTTGTGCGAATGAAGCAATCAGAAGCGTACACCCTCAATAGTTGGCACGTCTGCCACTCTGCAACATCTTACTTACACACAACAATTTTTTACAGTTACAAATACTACTTCAATAGTTTTACTACTGTGGTAGGAACACGCCGCAGTTTTCCCTGCCCCACGAATGCTCAAGCACATCCGGGAAGAACAACGGTTTCACAGGAGACCGGCGTTAAGTGGAACTGTCACTTTCAACTTTTGTCAACTGCATTTCATCCGGTGATAGAAGTACGGGCGCCAACACATGTGCAGATGTCCATGGGCGGTTGTCGCTTAATATCAGACGAATCGCCATGTGAGAAGCTCATAAAAAATATATTAATTACTATCAAGAAAGTACGTGATAGTAATTACATGTACATGATTAAATCGTAATGTAATATAATCAGTTACGCTCCGTCTGCTTTTGTTCAAGTTTTATCGCAACTTCGCCGCCAGCCCGCATGAATCCTAAAAGACACCAAGGGACTAATCAGAGAGCAAACCCGTCTAATTCCACTTGAAAAATTGTATAATATGTATTTAATTTACGACACACTGACACACGACTTATCTTTATATCAAATTACTTTTATATCCTCAGGCGCGATATAAATATTAAATAAATAATTTATAATAATAAAATAAATAATTCCAGAGCGATATGACTTGGGGACCATCAAGAAGAAAGCCTATTCCTACCTCAAAGGCCGGAAACGCAGTTGTGACTCCTCCGATGTTGCAAGTGTCCATGGGCGGCGGTGTCTCCAATTTCAATTAAAAAAAAAAAAATTACCAGACACGCTTTGACATTTGCATGTTTTAGATTAAAGAATGACAATCATTCACGTAAGACGACAGTTATTATGTTTTATGTATCTACACGTAGAAACTGCGAAGAAAACTATACGGGATTGGTTATGTCAAAAATTCGCTTACAACGCACACCGTTACGACGGACAAAGGAAACTTAATAACGTACGGCGTACATCAAAAGATATCATTATTGATGTTCTTTTGCGCGTGGCCTAAAAAACTCCGCTACATATAACATATACCTCTGGTAATGGTCCCGTCTAACGGGTCCTTTGTCTACCTGGAACCTCGGTATATCGGACCGAATTTAGTGTTTATTGATTGTCTGACTCCACCTACGGCCTCCGCCGACATAGAGGTCTATAGTGCGTGTATGACGGGCGAAACTACTCGCACATACGCCCTCCGTCAACCGAACAAAGGGCTCTTTGTGCCGACCTCATTGGCCTAATAATTTCGCGATTGTTACTTCAGCACATTCGTGTTACGGTAGCGCCGAAATAAATTCGACAACGCTTCGACCCCGACTACGTACTAAAGATATTTCGTCACGAAGCTATATACGTTAGTTTGCTACGAAGATCCGGTGTAGCAATTCTATCACAATCAAGCATCTCAGCAAATTTACGGGGTTCAGATGAAACTAAGTCGATCTACACAGCACATTTATCCGTCAGTTTTTATTGTTCCATCGCGTACGTAAATATTTTTCCTTCTCAACGCCGAACGATAGCAATTTCCAACGATTTGAAGCGAATGAGATTTTACAAGTCCCTTTGGTGTAAAATGTTTTAAACGAAAAGCAGCTAGACGTAAGTAAGGCGTCTAGTACTTTCCCAAAGAAGCTCATTCGTTCCCAAACGCGTTCGATGCCCCCGCAGCCACCTAATAAAGAGCAGCGGAATACCGAGGGATACAGCACGTGCCCGCTCCGGGCACATCCACATTATGCACTTTTCAGAGCGTCGACCTCCCCGTCGCAACAGACCTTCCTATTTCCCCCCTGAATTATTCAAACCGATGCAGCCGCCCGACGGAGGATCTAATCCACTTTGTATTAGTTCCTCAACCTGAGCCACTTACATTCGCTTAAGCCGATTGGCTTTTATTAAACCACTTTCCACTCGAACAGATTCTAAAGCCTTTCAAATATTAAAGCGAGGGAAACGTCGCGAGCCCTCTATCTGGCAGATCTCATTGACGGATGCGGTTTTCCTGTTACGTTCTGTGATGAAAAATTGACAATCGGAATACGTTCATCAGATTCATCAGTCTGTGGAGTGCTACTTTGGACGACTTCAATAAGAGAATATGCATAAAACAGTCCCTTGGGAATCATCCGAGATCCATTTTGGACTTTCGAAGCGAGGCGACGTCCCGCCTGGCGTACAGGGGGACTTCATCAAAGTGGAACTGCACTAAACAGTGGCGGGGGCGTCGTCGGTTTCGGCGGTACGGAATCATTGTCATGCCCGTTTTCCCACCCGAATGCCGCCACCGGCCGGCTTCCACATGTGGCCGGCCGTAAAGAGTTCACATTTCGTCTAGACACTTCGACCTCGCAGACGGAGAGGGAGGGTCTCTCCCCGTCTCGCTCTATGCGTCAAACATGCGCAGTAATGGGGGGGTGGCAACAGGTGGGGGTGGGGGTGGGGGTGCGGTCGCGCCCAAGGTCGGCGCACGGAAGCGTCTGGCTCGGATGTATCAAGATTATACATTATCGATCTCACGGTAATACCCTTGTTACGCGCTCATGACGAGTCTCGTCTCCCCGTTTCTCGGTAGGCTCCGTTCCACTTATGTAACTGAACCTGTGAAAGTGAAATGCGTTGACTACCCATAACGATGGCCTAGGTTAGGGCATTGTTCGTCAGCTTAACGCTTTGCTGTTAAATTCTTTCTAGAACATTAACAAAAGAATCATTATCGTTATAATAATAGTAATGATTTAAGTACATTTAAGTAAATTATTTTTGTGAGTCACTGTATAACACTGAATGATGAAAAAGAATGCTGAAAAGCCTCCAGTTTTTTCAACGCTCTTTTAATTTAAAGTTGCTTATGAATAAGAAGCCTCCAGATTTTTAATAATATTAGTAATAAACAATTCAGCCATTTTTGAGATATTTCAAAACTTTATAGATGTTTTTCGTCTGCGCCGTAAACTTACTAACGTCAATAGTTGCGGTTTGTCAGTTAGAGGACCGCTAGCGGTGGGGTCTGAAGGCCTGAATACCCACCGCAGCCCCCGGGGCGTAGACCCCAATTCCGAATTTGATATTATCTAAGAGACGTCCAAGACGTCTTATGTTGTATTGAAATTGGTGTCTAGTCAAAGATATCGTGGAGTTTGACGTCTTGAAAGCACTAGTCGCACAAAGGTTGGAAGTTTCAAATATTCATCGAAAGGAACTTTCTGACTGTCTGTTAAATATCTACCTGTACAAGATTATTAATGTCTAAAAAATTAGTTTACTTTTAAATAATCATCGGCTATTCTAATAGTTTTATAAACATATTTATTTTCATTATGCAATCATCTCATTTGAATACCAGATTATAATTTTGAACACGTACGAACATTTGATTAATACCAATAAAACATATTGGTCTTTACTGAAAAATTAAGCGCATTTATGAATGTAGCCTTGGCAAAAAGTGTGCGTGTGAACATATGAAACGGAAATCTCTGCTTTCTCCTCGAAGCGACGAGCATGAATGTGAACGAGGAACGAAAACTGTATGATTTGTGTGGATGTGATCTGGTAGTAAATCCCAAAGACCACTGCGACCTAGAAGATCTACTGTAGCCAGTTGAAGTGGTATACTAAAGCGGTGTTCCTCCGCAGTGGACGCAGAGCCGGGCGCGCTGGCACTGGGCGCCAGGGGCTCGCTTGGCCGCGCCCTGCTGCACGGCCTGTTGGCACCGGCTCCGGCGCCTCGCCACCACCACCTCTACACCGCACCCAACACCGGTACGTACCAACCAAATTGACACTCGCCCACCGCAAAGCTCAGTGTTATCCCCACGACGACCGTTACGAATCTTATACGTTTCGTTCCCAATCGCTTTGCCGTACACCAAGAGAAATAACTTCACTTTTTAACCGACTTCAAAAAAGGAGGATGTTCTATTTTCGACTATGTATTTTACGAGTGTAAAAAAACAACTCTGAAATTTGTATTAAAGGTCACCTACTACATAGCGTTTAAGCCACAAGTTCGAGATTTACTAATGTTTGGAGCAGCTGTGATTATGGGGTGGGCAGTGTATGACGCCACGATGTCACATATTATACAGAGTAACAATAACCTGATATCGACATATACTAGTAATATAGGTCCGATTTTGCCTATCAGGCCGGTTTTCTAATGACGTTTTCTTTCAACACGAAACATTTAACATCATCCTCCTGTCACTACCCCGCCTGGGGTTGGCAGAATATGTAAACAATTGTTTAGTGGCATACGCTTGGGGACAAATAACCAAATCCGTGTAGGAATCTAACCCACAGCCCCAGCAACTGCACGAACGAGTCATCTCTAAATAAACTTTTGGCATATTTGTTCTTATAAACTTGCATCAAACCAATCCATTGAATTTTATGGTCTTTATCTTTGACTCCTAAACCAATATCAGGTATCTCACGCGCTCAATTAAAATCACTTTAGCGCCAAATATCGGCACCCGATACGTTACAAAGCGGTCGTGATCATTCCACCTGTGCTAATATGCGGAACTCAGCCCACATTTATGTCTCCAAAACTGTGTTTAAGGACGCTCGACGATTTTACGTTACCGAAGCGGTTAAATTAACCGTGAGCTCTAATGCGAATGCTTTAACTCTGGTAGGGCCACGCAAGTGTTCACTGTAGCACGAATGGGAAGGTCCGTTCGGGTAAGTACCACGACCTCACAGAAGACCGGCGTAAAGTAGGAGTATTATAATTCTGCGTTTCGTCTGGTGAGTGAGGTAGGTGGTGCCCACTGTATTTAAAGGTGCCAACGCATTTGCAACCGTACGGGAGTTGCTAATGTCCATGGGCGGCGGTTATCACTTAACATCAGGTGAACCGCCAGCTCCTTCGTCACTTTTACACGTAAAAAAAGCTATTTGTAAACAATTATTCGGGCACTAAAGCGTTTAAAAGGATGGTCAGACGACGAAATTGCTTCTGTCGTGGCGGTGGCGATGAAACCCATTGGATCGTTTGTCAACTGTTATCTAAACAGGGTTAGACCTAGGTCGCCACGCAGCTATTATGTGAATAGATCCATGTTACACAGTCCGTATATAATAGTTTTTGTGCCTACCTATTCAAGCGCACTAAGCACACCATATACATACGAGCAGTGAAATTGTTTATTGATTTCATGTTTTTACGCGAACATTATAAACGGTTAAATGAAACTATTTTACGGAGTTTATCGCGTCTTGATTTTATTTTTAAATTCCCGAAGTTTCGGACCCTTTCCAGCGTTCATGGTACGGGACAGACAATTATTTATTTGTTACAAATAACAACTGCAACTAAATTATAATCGTTTCCATTGCGTTCATATTAACAATGTTTTCGCTTGGTTGTCGAAACAACAAACCGAATAGTTTAAACTGTACAGCTGGCTTCGAACCCGCGTCACATCTATCGCGTGTAGATTACCTCGCCGATGTGCCTCCGTGAATTTGAGGCAACAATTAGACGCGCCTGCCGTAAGCACTACCAAGCAACCGGCAGCGCAACTAGCCCGACACCCGTTGTCGCTTGCCATGAAATATTCATACGGTGCGACGAGGAAGCTTGGGCAATCGATAGACCCGTCAGCTGATCCGCCCAATGTCACGCCGCCACGCCACCCCCGCGCCCCCGCCCCACCACCCTCCCACCAACCCACGCACACCAGCCCCTACACGCACACACGCGAACCCGTTGCGTAAACCCACCGAAATTGTATTCGTTAGTTGCTTGTGAGAACAAAAATAAACCCGATATGTGTCTCTTTATCCTTGACTTTGGAATTGAGACGATTGCTTAATCGAAACTTATGTGTCCCAGATAGTGGAATAATAGATGGTATGGATTGTGAAGGACGGAAACGAGTTGAGTGAGAGATAAATGTAAGACGATGGTTTCGCGAATATTCTATACTTAATGTAACAAACTCCGGGACTGTTTTTAATATGAACACGAGCGGGCGGTTCACAACATTGATGTTAAGTGATTACCGCCGCCCATGGTTATCTAGAACACCTGAGGGATACCTTGTAGATGCGTTGACAACCTTCAAAATAAGTTGACCCCGTCTACTTCACTCACCTCAGTATAATACTCCCGGCTACCTCAGTAGGATACTTCCACTTCAAGCCGGTCTTATGTGAGACCATGGTGCTTCCCCGGACAGGCCTGCATTACTGCCCATTACTGCAACAGCCAGAGCTGCTCAGTTCGCACAATTTGCACTATCACAATACATAGTATAAAACAAAGTCGTCCCGCTGTCTGTCTGTCCCTATATATGCTTAGATCTTTAAAGCTACGCAACGGATCTTGATGCGGTTTTTTTGCTAGATAGAGTGATTCAAGAGGAAGGTTTATATGTATAACACAATGCACCCGTGCGAAGCCGGAGCGGGTCGCTAGTTACGTTACACAGCACGGGTGAAATAATGACAAATGACCAGATGCTCGCGAACACTCATCGGTGGAAAGCGTTGAGTTACGAACACGCCGCTCTAAGCAAACGACCAGTGCTCTGTAGGGCGGTGACGTTGCGTAAACATTGCACCCCAAATATTGGGATTACGTGAAACCCTTTGGTGACGGGTGCGCTCAGATAGATGCAAGGCGCGAACTTTTAGCGAGAAATGTGTCGAATCATTCAATAATTAAGAGCAGCCCACGGACGTGTGCGGGCGGCTCGGCTCACGTCACTCGGCCATTTATTTATCGTGAATAACGACTAACAATTGCATGGGTTAATTTACCCCTTGTGTACGCTATGGACGGGAATTTGATAGATCGAGTTGGAAAGCTTTTGTGGTCCAGTAATGTTTACTCGCATCGCAACCCTCGAGAACTTTCTCTTTTGTCAATAGCAATAAATAGCAACAATACTAACCATATTTATTTCAGGTCGAAAACGTTGATGTTGGCTAAACATTCACCGTAGGTAGTACTGTATCTCCTAAAGAAAACTAGGACTGATTACCTAATCACTATATAAAGGAGAGGATCTTTAAAGGCAACGCAAACAAGTTTTTTAGTTTCGATTTCAAGTACTGTCCTGTTACTAATGAAACCCTAATGTCAAGACGTTTTGGGAGTCTCTTAAATTCGTGTTCGGTGACAATCTAAGCGTCCTTTACCCAAAGGATAAAACGGAACCCTATTACCAAGACGCCGCTGTCTGTTTGTCTATCTGTCTGTCTGTCTGTCCGTCTGTCACCACCTGGCTGTACCTCATGAACCGTGATAGTTAGACAGTTGAAATTTGCACATGATGTACATCTGTTGCCGCTATAACATCAAATACTAAAGAGCAGAACAAAGAAATATTTAATTGGGCCTCCGATACAACGGACTTGATCTTTTTTGCAATTTTTATAGATACGGAAACTTTCCTGCGTACGTCCGACTCGCACTTGGCCGGTTTTTGAATATGTTTGGCATACCGTTTGCATACAGCGCGCTTGTGGCATACCGTTTGCTCTGCAGAGCGCTTGTTCAACCCCACTGTCGGTGACCAGTGCGACGCCGGAACGTCCACTGGGCCATCGGGGTCCCCACTGCACACTCGGTGTCCTGACCAAACAATGCGCGGCAGATGTGTACAGTGCACGTTGCGTCGACGCGTTGCGCACGTTTCGCCCGAAATCCTTTCGGGTTTTTGTGCAAAAATGGGTTACCCTGCACCTTGCTACCAAACGGGGCACAATGGACGCTAATCTGCTCTGCAACGCTCCCCCGCTAGGGCTGTCGACGGCCGCGATCGAATTTATCGTTAACCATATTTGCTTTTAATATTTACATTACGATATGTACATTTATATATTTGAAGGTACTAGGTATTTCTCAATTAGGCTTTAGGCTTAAAAGTCATCAATTGTATATTCAATTAGCGATACATTCAAATGAATGACTCAAGAATCATTTAAAACTAGTTTTTTATATAAACATATTTTACTAAATCTAGTGACATCTTATATTTTAAGTTAATAAAGTTTTTTCTTCTTCGATTTCGTTTTGTTCGATAAGAAGTAATTGAACGACAATTTGTTACATGTAGCTTTTAAACATTGCAGTATTAATTAAACATTTAGTACAAAATTAAGTGTTAGGTTTTCTAAAACAGATTCATTTCATTCTTATAAATTACCATGTTAAACTTGCAACTATTAAATGTGAAATTTCATATATAGCGAAATAAACAGCGACAGCCCTGGACGTTTACCTCACATTTGTGCGGGTTTCCGGCGCTTTGGCACAGTCACGCGTGGGCGAGCAAACGCGACCCGACAATGGGTTCGGTCCCGGGCTCTCGCAATTGACAATCTCTGCCCGGTTAATCTGTTACACTTTCCACGGATGAACGGGAAAAAATGTCAATAGCGACCGACGTAAACGATTGAGATGTCGAGCGTTGGTACAGCGTGGGACTATATAGAAATTTTATTATTCCTTACTAATATTATAAAGGCGAAAGTTCGTATGTATGGATGGATGTCTGTTACTCTTTCACGCAAATACTACTGAGTGTATTTTAATTGAACTTTACAATAATATTGTCTATACAACAGAATAACACATAGGCTATAATTTATATACATATTTTATGTATATCTCATTGTTACGCCTTCAGCCTATTCTACACAGACGTAGTCGCGGGCAGCAGCTAGTATTAAATAAACAGATTTTTTATTCTATAACAGGGTTATATGTAAGAACAATGTTCATCGATAATTATTACGGTTCGGTC